TTCTGTCTGCAGCTAAATATATTTACAACGCAAAGTTTTCAAGAGTCTACATGGATTTACATACAAGTACAGTGTATTTACACTATCTCGCCAGTGGGTAATTTTTAGCCGATTGAAAGCATACAGAAGTCTTCACTTGTTTGTCATTTATGTCACCTGCAGGCAATTATTAAGCTGGCTTTATACAAAATTAATGTGAAGCTCTCTTTATTACAATTTTAAGTTCTCATTCTCTTTAGTATGGATCTAGATGCATAGGGACTGCAACTGGTTGGAATCTGGCACGATCCTTCGAAACCCCACAGCCTCCGGGTGTCCTACGGCATCATTGGTTAGCTCTGGGTTGGGTCCTCCTTGGTCTGAGGAGCCTGAACCCATCAATCTCAGTATCTCGGGTTTGGTCCCTCAACTTCAAGCCATGTGACAATCAAAAACATTTAACCATATTGCAAATAACAAATTTTATTCAACTGTTTGGTAATAATCCAAAGAACACTTTATGGTCAATAGTTCCTCTTTATAGCTCCTCTTAACAGCTATTTCTTGCGGCAAACTCGGTAAATTCAAATGTCGATGTACATACATGTACATGTATATAGTCCAACAATCGACAGTCCACAAATAAACCTTCTGCAACATTAATAATGACAACTTCTTAAATCAATCCACTTTTATTAAGCCCATAAATCCAGTGTTTCAAACTCTTATGAAATAAAATAATTAACATTTACGTTTGGTTAACAGAACTGCTGAATTTCTTTCTTTGGTGTGTTTTACAGAGCCAAAATGCTCACAAAATCTTGATAAATCTTGCACTTATTTTAAAGTGCAGTCTTTCAATAGATCACTGATAACGAAGCCCGCTGTAGCTTGCTACGCCTAGTGGCTGGAATTCATGCGATCATACAGCAAAAACACAAGTCTGTCTTCTATCATAGAGGAAGGACTCGGAAGGAGTTTTAACTACCCCGGCTACAGCATCGGGCCAATTACCGGCTTTCTGGCATGCCTGGTATGCCCATAGCCAGAGCGCAGTTAGCACTTGCTACATGTACGCACCATCTGTTTCACAACCATGAAACCCCTGTGCACCCTATGATCGCCGCAGCTTTTTGCTGGTAATCTGAATCCTTAAAACTTTGTGCACTCACATATAGGAAATTGAATATTCATGTATTTGTTGGTGCTTGGTATGATCTCATAACAACATTAAATGTAATGCTTGCGCATTGCTTGTACTATGCCGTGTGCCCTAAATGTACATGTGCAGTCGCTGCCCTTAATGAACGCTTTCTTATGGAGTTATTTTCGGAATAAATTACTCTGTTGTTTAGAAGATTTGGTGTTATGTTTGAATCATCTTTATTATGGCATTTGTAGTGTTTCATTACATCATTAATCACTACATAGTAGGGCTGATGTAGGGAAAATGAATGACATCACAGACAGAGGAAGGACACAAATACATGTACAGTGTGATTACATGATGCAGATCTACCTGTAGGTATGTTCGGGTTAAAGTGACCTCATGAACGACTGCCCTTAACGAAACTAAAGAGGGCGCTATCGTAACATGTACAAAAGCGTATTATCACTCTCTGTGATAAAATAGCACATTTTGTTCCTTGTGAACTTAGCTTTCCAGTAGTGGTCAACATTTTGGGGGCTAGTCTTTGAAAACTGATGTTTGGAGGGTGAAGAATAAAATTCCAAACTTTGCATGCATAATGGCAGTGTATCAAAATCGAAAAAGTTTATTCACAATGGCAAAAGTATAGGTCTAATATTAGGCATTTTTCTCTCTCTATTTCCTGGTTACAGCAATAATTTGTATTTAATTGCCAGTAAAACACTACAAGTATTGCTGGGATATTACTGGCCCCACTTATCTGGCTAAGATGCAAGCAGAAATCAGACATTTGTGGAATGTTTTCGTAACTCCTTCTGTGTCCTTCCTGCATGCCTCTTCCGAGATCTGGTCTGGTGTGCCCTACCTTGATTCATCCAACACCCTCACACAACCAAATCACACATTTTTGCCTTTCAGTTGGCAAAACAACTCCTTAGTGACTTTTTGTACAGCACCTGGATTTGTAATTTTACTCAGTGTTGTCACCCTTAATTTACACAACCATGGCTTTTCTTGATGTTGCTGCCAAATCAGAAGGCTACCGAAAAGCAACTGACTACCAAACAGCTGCTGGCTGCAAGGACTATTACATAACGCTCATCCAGAGTAAGAAAAAACTAGTTCCAAAGTGATGCAGGTAGTTCTATTGGTGGAAACCTCTGGGCTTAACCATTTCTACAAAAGGGGGTACACAACAAACTTTTGACAGACGGACACAATGTCGAAAAGAAAATCTGAAGTTAACAATATTGTAGCAATGCCATTTTGATGGGATGGGGGTAATGTGAAAAGGAGCTCTTGCCATCCAAGTTGGGAGGCACAACAGGGGCTCGTCATGTTCTCTTAACGGTACCACTATCCAAATGAGAGAGTACTGAATTATAAAAGGAGATCTTCATGACTGCATGACTTGGGTGTGACACCAGTCAAGGACACCGAGTATGGCACTTGAATACACATGTACCCTCTACCCCATCCCATGCTTTGCCGCTGGTTAGGAACTCGGTCCTATCACCCTTTACAGGGCACAATAGACTAAGGTGGCACATTTAAATAACCTCCCTGGTCAAACTATTTCCAACTGACAGTTAGTTTCTTGACATCCTGTACACCATGTTCAATAACACTTTTACATACAGGCACATGTACCTGCACATGAACATGTACCAGCACATGAACATGTACCTGCACATAAACATGTACCTGCACATGAACATGTACCTGCACATGAACATGTACCTGCACATGAACATGTACCTGCACATGAACATGTACCTGCACATGTACCTGCACATGTACCTGCACATGTACCTGCACATGTACCTGCACATGTACCTGCACATGTACCTGCACATGAACCTGCACATGTACATACTCGTACATATACCTGTCACAGCCTATCTTGTACAGGTCTTCAGCACCTACAAGTACATTGTATTTCATACAGCACCAGTGCTTTATCAAGCACACAGGGCTTTGCGCTGCAGTATAAATTAAAAGCATTTCTTGAAGTTTGCATCTCAAATACGCATACAGTGTACATGTGCATTACTTCCTTGTTTGACATCGGTATACATTTGTGGCCCACCATACCAAATAAATAGGCAAAGCACATGTACAGAAGGCTGCATTATGTTTGACAGTGGCTCTCTTTCACTGTTAAATTTCATATTTCAAGGTGGTCCAAACAAAATATCTTGTCCGCAGAAAGCTTTGGCAGCTTAATATAGGCAAAGAATGGTCTGGAAATTGCCTTATAATTCTTTGGATTCTTGAAAAGTGAGTAACATTTTTAAATTACGTACCCACAAAACTTATTAAAAATGTTTCACATCCAGATCACAAAAACATCTACATGTACTTGTGAATGGGTGTTGCTTTGCAAAGAGTTTTTATGCAAGATTATAGCTCTACGTAAAGCAACAAATGGTCGCTAATTCCTTTTGGGTTTATAATTCACGTTAAAAAAGTAAATTTTTTTTACCTGCAAAACACATTTTTAAAGACTGGTTTATTTTCAGTATACATGTATATAAGCCGTCATGAATGCCCATTTGACACTGAGAAGCATACCAGGCTAACATGGCAACAGTTGACATGTGCTCAACCTGGATGATTTGTCATCCGGGGGGGGTGTGTGAGATAACACGCTTTTTGTTGTTTTTCATTCTATTGTTATTTTTGGCAGCTCTTGAATCTGACCACTTCTCCAAGGTATTATCTATGGCAGACAAGTAACCTTAAAAAGGCAAGACTTGATATATTGGCTGACCTCAAATAAAGCCCAATGCCACAAATCAAAACTCCCGAAAGTCATTTGAACAACAGATCTACCGGTACAGTATTCCTCACCTCAGTCTCATAATTTATCAGTCTGAAGCTCCATCATGGATCAATATTTGTGATGATGTAGGCCATGTAAGACAGCCAATTTCAAGTTGAACAATCCATCTCAACAGACTTCCTGAATGTTATGTGTAACATACTTCATGTACAAAACATAAATAGGGATTACATGTAGGTGTGTACACGTACATGTATGAACACACTTCTCCTATTAAACAGAAGGTCAGGGAATGTTTGGCATTTTTAACCCATGAGCCACCCCTATGAATTGCTAAGTTGGCAGAGCTTCCATGGTTCCAATGTGAACTGGTCCCCCCATCCACCAGTGCCATGATCCTTAAATAGGAGTGCCATTTGCTGTCTTCCAAAGTACATGTATGCCTTGACAAGTCTCAGATTCAGAGAGAAAAACCAAGACAGACAGAGAATGAAAGACAAATGAACATAAAACGATGAAAGAAAATGAAAACATTAAAGGAAAAAAGTGTCTCTATCTAGAAGCATCACAAATTCAAAGTTCCCAGTATTTTGACAAATGACAGGGCCGATTAACGTTGCCTTCTCCCAAAGCTTCCAGTGCACTTCTCTTTTTTCCTGGTGCGTACTAAGAGACGGAAAAACTTGTGGCTTTGCTGTGTCATTGAAAGGAAACAAACACGTGTTTACACAAGTATTTCTCATTGTTGAAGTTTGTTGGAATGAGAAATACAGAGGCTTTATGAAGGGGAAAAACAGACAAGTAACTCAAGCTGTTACACTGGGAGCAGACAGCAGGAAGAAGGCAACAGAAGCAATCGCGGTGAAAGTATCTGCACAATTTCTTTGTGTACATGTCAAAACCTCTGGGGGAAAACTCACATTTCAGGCTCTCAAGAGGCATATGTCTAAAGATGAACTTGCTCAAGAAATTACTTTTTGTGCAATAATCACACATACATGTAGCTTCTTAGCTTTGCTATAATTTATCAAAATTGTCAAATGTCCGAGTTTCTTGCTTACATGCGTACAAAACTGAAAAGAACCAAATTATGCAATGCCACTGTTCACAGTCCACACACCTGTAATGTATGCCGTGAGGAGATGAAGGTCACGTTTGCACACAGGTATTTCTCATCGCTGGGATTTCCCAAATGAGAAATACACGTACAGATACACGGTGCCTGTCATTCCCATGATAAAGACTGCCATTTCATGATATGACAATGAGAGAGGATAGGCGGGAAACAAGGAGGACGCAAACTCACGGTGCAATTACTAGTGCATGCATATACTTCTTGGTGTGAGCAGCAACAAACCAGCAAATATCTAAAGGTGAGTTTTCATCTCACATGACATCCTTGTGGAAAAGTGGCCATCTGCTAATGTCAACATCTGCTTGGGCTACATGGATATCAACACTATGCAAATTTCAGTATTTGAACTGCACATGTGCAGTACACATTTGTCATTCCATAGAGTCAACCTTTAAAACAATTCCCCGAAGCCAAAAAGCATGAGAAGTGAGTGAAATATCTTGCACTTCATTGTAGGATAACAAGAAAAGGATCATGATTTTTGATACTGTCCAAAAATTGAACTGATGAGAGCCAGTGTGTATGGTTACCACTCAGCCACACAATCATTCAATACTGGGTAATTCCATCATGGGTTCAAAGTGTGACATTTTCGTGTCCCTGCTACATCTGATCTTTGTTATTTGACATGGAAATATCACCGGAAGTGATTTCAAACTATCACTATTTGTTTGGCAGATAATTTGCATTAGTTCATTACTCTTGGAAATTAGAAAATGTGTTCTGAACTTACAAAATCATATGTCAGATGTGACAGGCACACACAAAAAAATGGACCCCACATTTCTGGTATTACCCTAAATTTAATACACACCATTGTTCAAGTGTTGGTTGTATAAAACATCAGGTGAAGATTTCCCTTTGTTTTATTGATTTACAGATAGCCATTGACAAGTATGGATGTCAAACCAGGCCACTGCTGGCGTTGTGAGAAACTGCTTCCAGAGCACGCTGTGAGATGTGATCGCTGCCCAAAGGCCATGTACTGCAGTGATCCATGCAAGAAACGAGACCGTGTCAGGCACGGTGCCGTGGAATGTCAGGTGTTTGGGCCCCAAAGTTGCAGTCATTGCGAGAAAACGGGAGATTTGAAACAGGTCAGTTTTATCTTCAAACCTGGCTTTTAAATTCTAAAAGCAGTGTTCTCCATGGGGGGGGGCTGCAGGTCGGCTTGCCCTGCCAAAATTTGAGGCCTCCTAGCACGTTGTTAACTGTTAAATCAGAAGAAAAAGCCAAGGAAATCCTGCACCACAGAGCATCTAGAATTCAAACTTCCCGGACCCCACACCGTGAGGGTTTTGCGCTCTACCCTTTGTCCACCCTCTTACATGTACAAGTGAATGGTCTTGTGATAGTCTTGACTACAACACTGCTGGTCGTAAACTTCAGCTGTAGCTGTAGATGAATGTTAACTTTATCATTGGTCATCGGCAGTGGCCCCTTTAAACCATAGGTAAGCATTAAGCACTGGTGATCATTGTCGTCATTGGGAAAAGATTGAATTGGTCCACAAGCTGTGTTCTGATGGCAAAGCCAATGCCATGGATGCATGGCTCATTGGAATCGTACCCCTTCCAAAAGATTGTATACTTGGATCCAACTTCTCTGATGCTCCCCTCACCAGGAAGCCTGGTCTCACTCAGGGCTGCCATGTTGATGTTGAAACAGGCAAGCTCCTTGCAGACGAGGGCTGTATGCCGCTGTGGATGGTCAATGTCACTCTTTTCCTGGAGAGTACAAATGTTCCATGCCCTAAGAGTGAAAGGTTTTGAGACAAAAGAGTGGATATTCGATGAGGGCTCGGTAGATGAAGAACTTGAGCTTGAATTTGAATTTTGACCACTAAAATGGGAAGTCCACCAGTCGAAGTGAGCTGGCCAGACTAAGTTGCCGTGTCCGATGTTCATCCCACCTTTTCTAGGGGCCTCCCCATTGGGGTGGGATGCGGAGGTCCTAAAGAGCCCAGCTATTCATAGGACAGCGACCATCTAAGATTCACCACCAGATGTGTGGACGCAGACTAGAGGCTTCTGGCTATCCAAACCTGCCTCTGTAGCCCGTGATACCATCGCAATTGGACTTATAAAGAATAGGGTGTCCAGTCCAGAAAAGGAGGCTGAAAAATAGAGACATGAAGTCATTCGCTATGGAGTTGTTTGAGAAGATCGTGGCTGTGCGATGGCCACACACACTCACTTGGCCAGCAACGTCTCTGCTGCAGCTCAAAAGGCATGAGACTTGCAGTTTCAGCGAGGTTGGTTGAAGGGGGCTGCTGGGGTCTTGTCGGCCTTGTTACGCCTGCCTGCCTGCCAGGCACAGCCCTCCTCCGGTGACGTAGCCGTTGGGGCCTTGAGTAGCCCTCCTCCACCAGTCTCATCATTGGGGCTCAGTCACATTTAGTCTGGAACCTCATCCTCAACATTACCGCCATGGGTAGCCCTACCAGGAGTACGGGACTCCTGACAGCGTCGCTCTTGGAATCATTGGAACAAGCAAGCCCTTCCACCACGGCAAGGAGCGACCATTGGAAGGGAGGTGATAATTGTACAGAGCCACCATTCTGTGACAGTCACTCCATAAAAAAGCAATCAACACAATGCCTTCTGCTATAAAAGGGGGCCACTGATGAGAATGACCACTGAAACATCACTGGATTGATCTGTTCAGATGACAGACAAGTGTACTTATCCATGTATATGTACCTTCGACTGACGCGAGTAGATCACTAAGCATCACATGCCATTCCTTCAAAGAGTCCATGTCACTATAGAACAGGACAAAGTTAATCTTGACACAAGACTTGAACATGTACGTTATTTTTCAACACTGGTGACTAATGCAATTTCTTTCTGTACTTGCAGTGTTCAGCATGCAACAATGCCTGGTACTGCGATGCTAAATGCCAAAGGAAGAACTGGGCAGCTCACAAGAGCGACTGCAAAAGCATCCAGGAATTTATTGAAGATCTCTCTCATGAACTGACTAAACAGTACACTGAACTTGTAAAGCATGATGTTACTCACACTCGGGAAAGAGTCCTGGACCCTCCGTATTACTTTGGCAGCACGATGGCCTATGATTTCCTTCAACTTGAGCAGAATGAATGGGCAGATGGAATCAACGAAGAAGAGACAGCACGCGACTTCAACATCCTCTCAGCTGGATGCGGAGATCTACGGAACACTGTGCTGACGGCTGCTTCCTTGCCTGCAAAGTACCGGGGAAAACTGTCTATTGTGCTGAATGACTTGGACCCTTACGTCATGGCTAGGAATGTCCTGTTCCTTTACATGATGATTCGACATTCAGACAGTGCTGGCATTGCCACCAGCTTGGCCACAATTTGGTATTCTCTTCACATCTCCAAGACTGACTACAACCTGATCAAGGCCAACCTGGAGAAACTCATCCAAGCCGATGCCAAGAGCCTTCAAGAAGTCACAAGAGGGTCCGTGGTCATCAGCAACAAGGATCTCGCTGAACTCCGTAAAGTCTGGCATGGATGGAACTCCCTGCAATGTGAACGCATCAAAAGTTCCTCCATCAACCTAAACAAGCAAAGACAGGCTGTACTTGAGGAAATTCCTTTTTTTGGCCATGAATTACAGCTTTGCTATGAGAGACTGACTCCAAAGGAAGCTGACGATTTAAAGAAGTGGTTCCAACATGGCCTGTTCCTTCCCGATAACTCACTGGGCAGACTGCCATTCAACAACCCAACTCTCACAGGAAGAAAACAACAAATTATTGGTGCAGGTACGATGGTGACTGAAGATTTTGTTTACTGCATTCATCGCAATCTCACACCTTTCACAGCTTGGGACTGTCTGCAAGTTAGACAATCAACAGAGGGGACAACCTTTTCCACCACGGCCATGTACCACAATTATGTGGTCCAGCAGTTGCAGAAAACAATAATCCTATTCGCTCAAGGCAGGCTCCACATTCACATTCTGGTTTCCAGTTTCCTTGATGTTCCACACCACCATCAAGCCCTCCAAATGGCCAAGTTTGACCGAATCTTTACATCCAACCTGGCTGACTATGTTGGCTTCCGCAAGCTCCTCAAAGTTCTTGGGTCACTGGTGAATCCAAACAACAAGAATGCCAGGCTTGTTACTGAGACAATGAACTGGATATCACTTCATGTACCAGAGCCAAACATATGGGGCAGCTTCTCTGACATAGATATTCATGAATTGACCAAAGAAACAATGCAGCTCTGCAAAGATGACACAGGAAAGGAGCTTTCAAGTCCCTTGGCCATCAGCCACCAGCTGGAGTATTTTAACAACACTCACTGGTTTCTGGCATATCTACGAGCAAACATGATGGCTGGCAGCTTACACATCCCGGAGCTGGATCACACCCCATCTCTCAAGGAGGCCATGAAGTGTGAGGGGTTGCAAATGCATGACTTCCGGGAGGAGATCAACAGACTGGTGCCGTTTCAGTTTCGGGTGAATGCCAGGAGCCTCACTTCACCGACTGGGGCACAGAGAGCAGTTGAATGGTTCATACCATCTGACCATCGAGCGTGAGAGACTGGTGGGGCGGACAATAAATAAGCACTCACATAAAACACTGTCATCAAAAGGAATATGTCATAACACCCAACGGCGCAATGCCATTTCAGAACACTAGGCAATTTGTGCTTTCTCAAAATCCACATTGTACATGTACAATACTGGGAAATTAAATTTTACTACATGTACATCAGTCTTTCTGAGCAACTCTTTCACCGGAAATGGCAAATGACCCATTCAATCTTCAAGTCCATTTATCAAGGCCATGATGCCATACAGGGTTTTGGTACTGCAAATAGTGTGTTTTGGGCTGTTACCTGGCCTGAGGACGTATCTTACACTTTGTTATTAACCATAATGGTGAAAGGCTTGAATCTCTGATTAATTTGCATTAATTCATCACTGTTGGAAATTAGAAAATGTGTTCTAAACTTACAAAATCATATGTCAGATGTAACAGGGGCACACACACACAAACACAAATGGATCCCTAATTTCTGGAATTACCATAATGAGAAACCCCATTGTACCAATACATTGCCCCAAAAGGTCTCTGTAACAAGCGCATCAATCGATTAAAGGAATATACATAATGGGAGACTCTGAGATGCAAGGTGGCAGCAGACAAACCGGTCCTTTTCCGCAGCTGTGCACATGCTCAGAACTAGTGCGCATGCCTAGAAATGCATGCACATGCCCACATCAACCAAAAAGGACCGTTGTGACTGCCACCAATAAGCGTCTGAAAGTCTCCCATTCTACTTGTTAACAGCAGTACTAGAGGACAGTCTACTGATATGAATGCCATACTGTATGGTTTGCATGGCTACCATCTTGCAGGCCAGTGCTTTTGTTCCACAGAGTACACACAAAGGAGGTTTCCCTATGGAACAAAAGAACTGACCCACAAGATGGCTACCACGCAAAGCCTCTATTGTCTCCACACCTTTGACATGTATGAAGCTATAGGATAGAATTATGTGTATGTGGTAAAGATATTTTTTTTAAGTGCAGTGGCAAAATAGCCAAATTAGTTCTAAAAAGTAAAAGGTACATTAAGTATGCCAAACCGTTTAGTTTAGACGAGTAAACAAAAATACCGAAGCAAAACAGTAAAAAAAAAGTGTACTATGTAAATGTAGAGGCAACTACTTGAGTTTTACATTTCAATCCAAGTGGAATCTTTCTCAAATGCCATATATTCAGTGAGGACACTTCAGCAAGAGTCGTACTGGTAGTAATACAGAAAAAGTTCAAGTTGTGCTAAAGTACTTCATTTTTCAATGACCAAA